TAGCAAGGAGATGACGCAACCTGTTTCATCGATTTCAACACGAGTCATAGCACACTCGATAGCTATGATGCCGTGTATAAACGCCCTAACATAATATGCGTGAATGCGTCTTTGTTTACGAGTAATTTGCAGTTAAAGTTTGGCTCGCGGAGCCGTGCCACATATAGGGCGCAAGTTACGACATTCTTTCACGAAGCGGCGTGGCTGAGCAGACAGAGGCTCCCGCGCCGCGAACACTTTTGCGCCGACGACTGGTTCGTTTTTTTTTCGTATGTAAAGACATGTAATAAATATTTTTATATTGTTCTTATGTATAATTCCTTTTTTTGTTTCTACGCTATTAATCAAGGCTAATTAGGAGAGTCAGGTCTTTCAAATATGAACACAACTTTTTTTATTAATTACAATAAAATGTTTTTGTCCGTATCAAAACACACACACACACACATATAAGACAAATATAAGGCACACAAATGAAAGTTACGTATTATAAAATGTGGTCATGCTGTCGCAACTCTGCGGATGGAATGCCGTATAAAAGCATGTAAAACATAAGTTTTTTGCACCAACTGCACGTAATGAACGCATAATTTTTTGCACAAATACACTTTTGACTATGTATAGTTGGTGTAAAACATATTTGATTGACGTTGTAAAATACCTCGCGACTGTCAACAAGACTGGACGCATACCATGCATATTGGAGCATAAAATTGAAAACTGGTGCTGATAACAGATAGTGTGTGAGCGATTGTATACGAATCGCATCAGCGCGAGTGTTCAAATTTATATTTTCGTCGCCGGTATATAAAGAAGGACAGTTCTGTATACGCTTTATAATGATTTTGACCTGTCTATAGAAATAAACATCGCACGGTTGACAAATTGGCGTACATTTTGGTAGTATTATTTGTAGGTTACACGTTGGCCTATTGTTATTATCGCGAAATATTTCGTTATACATATGGATATTCTTTTGTCCTCCCCAAGAATCAACAAGAAATAAAAACTGATGATTACCAACGTACGGCTTGAGAACCAGTTTCAAATATTGCTAGTAGAGAGACGTTAATTTCCCTGATTTGGAGCAGACTGGAACAACATTTTTACATAATAAAATAACGCATCTACCTCTTTCTGTACCTGGACTCCAAATGTGTCGGAAGTCTCTTGTAAGCAAACGAACACTTTATTTAATAGCTTGCCCGATTGTGTGACAGAATATTGTGCAGTATAAGAGTGAGTCACTTTGTTTAGATCGCCGATATATAATTGTACCAATTTTTCGCCAGTATGCGTGTACATTCGTGCAACATTTACGCGATATTCGCAGCCCGTTTGGTCAGAATTTATTATGAAATCTGGGTCGTAATCCGGTGATATACTTCTAATTAATTCTTGAAAGTGTACAGCGGATTCCACCACAGCTTGAGGTGATATTATTTCTCTTTTTGATAAATACCGAACAACTCGACGGTTAGAAATTTTGTATTCACGTAGAAATGACGTTAACCATGTGTTCGATGCTACAAAGCGGAAAGTTTTGTCATGTTCTTCGCTTTCTTCTCCTTGTTTGTTATATTGAACGGCTGCAGCCATCGCCCACTGTTGAAGGAGACGTCGTGTAACAAGTTGCCTTTGCTCTCTTGCTTCCGTAAACCGATCATACACATTCCGTTTTATTAATTGCAGCTTATCCCAATAATTTCCACCAGATAAAATGTATTTGCGGAAGCGTGCAACTTCACTGTGATAATGTAAATGCTGTTTAAACTTGCTTTGTAACGTACGGAAGCTCCAATTCGGATGTTCGTTTGCGGTCATAACTATTTTCAATTTTACGTCATACGGCACTAGATCCATCGCTGCAACTTTTTGCGGAGGTTCGTAGTCTTCCGTTCTTTGACTCGTATGAGGCTTGTCCGGAGAAGACTCTTCCGTTCTTTGACTCGTATGAGGCTCGTCCGAAGAAGACGATTGAACATCTTCCATCGCGTCTTCTTCAATCACGTCTTCTCCTTCTGCTATATAATATTCCACCTCATCTGATATTTTATGTTTTTCCAACAGTTTAATTAATTTTTCAAACAATTTTCCGCCAATTAATTTGGAATTTTTTGATAATTTCCTTGGCGCTTCATTATTAATTAAATTAAATTGTATCAGGACATCTGCAAATATGAATTCAATATAATTGATATTGTATACAAGGCCAATAACAATACGTACAAATATATCTTTCCATTGCTCACACATTCAATATATTTACCTCGAAGATATTCTATTGCGTCCGTCAACTCTTCTTTCGTAATATCACATTTTGCTAGATTTTACACATAGCTGATCGTTGCTTCATCTACAAACGTGGTTTCCATTTTTAACACGAGTTTTTCACTGTTCACGTTATGAAGACTGCCCAGAGAATGAAGCGAGCACGTCACAAAACATGAGAATCCCTCTGCGAAAACGGGAAAGGGAAGAGGGTTCCTTTCCACTTGTAACGGTTCTAACGTCTCTCGGGTTTCTCTCACACAAAATAATCACTGTCTGGCCATTTCTTTCCCATACCATACGAAATATTTATGCGAAATAGATTTACACGAAAAAAACATTTTATTGTAATTAATAAAAAAGTTGTGTTCATATTTGAAAGACCTGACTCTCCTAATTAGCCTTGATTAATAGCGTAGAAACAAAAAAAGGAATTATACATAAGAACAATATAAAAATATTTATTATATGTCTTTACATACGAAAAAAAAACGAACCAGTCGTCGGCGCAAAAGTGTTCGCGGCGCGGGAGCCTCTGTCTGCTCAGCCACACTACTTCGTGAAAGAGTGTCGTAACTTGCACCCTATGTGTGGCACGACTCCGCGAGCCAAACTTTAACTGCAAATTATTCATAAACAAAGATGCATTCACGCATATTATGTTAGGACGTTTATACACGGCATCATAGCTATCGAGTGTGCTATGACTCGTGTTGAAATCGATGAAACAGGTTGCGTCATCTCCTTGTAGGTGCGCAACTAAGTTTCCGGATTTTTTTGATCAATGAAAAATGGAAAATTTCAAGAGAAATACAAAAAATGGTTTATTCAAAGTATCGTCCCTCGCTAGCTACACATTTTTGCCATCTCTCTGGCAATACATGAATACCACGACAATAAAACGACGCGTTTTTGGACCGAAACCATTCATCCAACCAATTTTGCACTTCTTCGAAATTGGCCAAGTGTTGCCCAGCCAAGCCATGCGCCATCGACCGGAACAAGTGATAATCGGAAGGGGCCAAGTCTGGCGAATACGGCGGGTGCAGTAGCAGATCCCATTTCAGCGTTTTGATGGTGTCCTCGATGATGGAAGTGCGATGGCACGGAGCGTTGTCGTACTGCACTATCACTCGTTCGTGTCTCATGTCCCATTCTGGCCGTTTTTCGAGCAATGCATGGTTCAAATTGATCAGTTGTTGTCGGTAGCGATACCCATTGACAGTTTCGCTCGATTTCAGCAGCTCATAGTACACGATTCCTTTCTGGTCCCACCAAACGCAGAGCAGTCTTCTTTCCGAAGCGATTTGGCCGTGCCGTCGATGCTGATGCTTCGCCAGGTGAAAGCCACGATTTTTTGCGTTTGGAATTCTCGAAATATATCCACTTTTCATCGCCAGTAACAATTCGATGCAGGAAACTCTTTCTTTCATGCCGCAAAAGCAAAATTTCGGAAGTGACTCTTCGATTTTCCATCTGTCTCTCAGTTAATTCATGCGGCACCCATTTTCCTTCCTTTTGAATTTTTCCCATGACATGTAAACGTTTGGAAATACCTTCATATTTAATGCCTCCGCAAGTTGATCTTGTGTTTGCGTATCATCTTCATCCAATAACGCTTGCAGATCGGCGTCCTCAATTGTTTTTGGTCTTCCGGAGCGCTCCTTGTCCTCAGTATCGAAATCGCCACTTCTGAAGCGTTTAAACCAATCTTCACAGATAGTTTTCGATGGTGCATGTTCGCCGTAGGCCTCCTCAAGCAAACGACGTGCTTCAGCTGCACTTTTTTCAACTTAAAGCAGAAAAGCAAAGCTTCCCGCAAATGCTGTTTATTTGGCACAAAACTCGACATCTTCATTGTTAGAAAAAATATTTTTGCGTTGCGATATGTGTTGGTATTACGACTGGTTATTGTTAACAGATGTCCAAGCTATAAAAAAATACAACTTCAGGCATGTATGTCGACTACATGTGTCGTTAGCGCCATCCATGTGTGAAACCCGGAAACTTAGTTGCGCACCTAGTATGTATAGATATGATACACATATAGGTTGTCTCTAAATAACAATCTATTTTGATGAAATAGGTAAGAATCTGAATAATTATATTGTTACGTTATATTGGAGAGAGGAGAGAGAGAGAGAGGAGAGAGAGAGAGAGAGAGAGAGAGAGAGGAGAGAGAGGGAGAGAGAGAGAGAGAGGAGGGAGGAGGGAGAGAGAGAGAGAGAGAGAGAGAGAGAGAGAGAGAGAGAGAGAGAGAGAGAGAGAGAGAGAGAGAGAGAGAGAGAGAGAGAGGAGAGAGAGAGGAGAAAGAGAGACGGAGAGGAAAGAGGAGAGAGGGAGGGAGGGAGGTATGGAGGGTGGGAGGGAGAGAGAGAAACGCACATTTCTATACAATACTCATCGCGGTCTTCAGATTTAATATTTTTATATTTTTCTTACCTGTAGGCCTATTCTGTAACTTCATAACGATAACGATACTTTCGTTGCAAGTATAACGTATAACAGAACGAAAAGATGTGCAACAATGCTAGTAACATAATCGTTAAGAAATTACAGAATAGGCTTAGTGAGATTCCATTATTTCTCGATATTTATTTTGAACAGATGTATTTTGTTTAAATATATAGTAATATCAGATATCGTCTGGGTTATAATACATTTGAAAATTCATCGATTACTAGCGTTCCGTTACTGAACTACTAATGGTTTTTATTTTTAATTTATAGCATTTTTATTCTACAAACCTGAAGCAATACCTGCGATATTTAAAGATCTGAATGAAGATCATCAACGTATGTTCGACATGATCAAAACAAGTGGTCTAAAATGGGTGGCAGTATTACCGCCGCATATAGCCGGTATGTATGTGCGTAATATTTGGCAACGAAAATCTTGTTGACAATTTTAAGGAATTTGACTTAATCAATTTTATGTTTTTCAGATACACCTAAATCGAAATACACGGTCACATTTGATTCTTCACTTGGCCGCGTAATCTCTAAACATGATTTAGGCATGTTTCTCATCGAATGTCTCAAAAATCCTGAATATCATCAGAAAGTATGCGGTATTGCATCTGTAGTATGATAATATGAAAGAACATATAAATATACATGTATACATATGTATATGTATGTAAATTATATATATATATATAATGTACATATATATATGTATGTATATACATATATAAAATCATATATATAAACATATATAATTCAAAGCTTTGTTCTCTCCTAGTAAAAAATATATACACATATATGCGGATTGTATGAATTAAAAAATGTAGAGAAGTGTATTTGCTGAAATATACAGAATATTTGGTAACTCATGTAGCCATAAACAATAGAAACGTAGAACTGATTAAAACAAACATAAAAGTCCCATATCGTTTTACGATATTCGCAATAATTATCGAGTAATTAATAATTAAGAAATCTAACGAGTAAGTGCAGACCAAATGATTGGAAGAGAAATATAACAGCCACTCAAATTAGAACATGGTCCAATTGATTCAGTCACTATTATCGGCGCGCAGTGAGACATAGGAACGGCGGAATGAGAGTAGAACATAGTCGAATAACAATGCATTGTCCTTCCTTTCACCGCACGCCGGCAACAATTGCTAAATCGACTGAGCCGCGCTTTTGCCTGAATGGTTGCAATGCTTCTCCAATCATCCATCTCATCGTGCGCTCACTGGTCAGACTTTTATGATTAATAACTTGATAACTATTGCGAATATTACAAAATAGTATGGGACTTTTATGTTTGTTTTAATCAGTTTTATGCCTTCATTGGCTAGGGCTACATGAGTTATTAAACACCCTGTATAACTGAAAGATAATAAATAACATCTGAAAATATAAATATTTGAATTATTAGAAATGTACTTTGATTTACGAAAAAAATTAACTAACCAGTTAATTGGTAATGACTTCTACGTATATGAGCGAAAAAAAGAAATTCCTAGAAATACAACTAGTAATGATATATGTGAACACTATGGCCAATTTTCAACGGATTTGCATTGAACATGGTACATCTATCTTTTTTAAGTCAATGACTATAAATCCGGAATAAAATTTGAGAAACTCATAAAGACGGATCCAATAAAGATCATACCATAAAGACGGCAGTACTTACCATAAATATTCAATTGTCCGTTTTTTAAGAATACTTATTAAAATTTATATCTCCGTTTGATTTTATATGAAATTTTTATAAAATCGCTAGTGACGAACCCAGAGTCGAAATTTTAAAATTCAAAGTAGCAGATGGCCAATATGGCAGCTCCAAGTGACTGATTTTGTTATTCTAATATAGAGAAGTATCATATTCGATATGCTCAGTTTTTTAGGTTGTTGATGATGAATCCAGTTGAAATTGCAAAATCTAAAATAGCGGATTCAATATGGCGACTTTTAGTGATTAACAATATTTCATCATGGGTACTTTTACCTTCACTGTTAACAGGTAAAATATGTTGAATACTTCTTTACCGAATAGTCCTAATGGAAATCTCGAACTTATGACAGTCGTTATCTGCAGTCGAAAAACATATTGATACGTATCCATGATGGAATCCATGATGGAATAATGAAATGTCAAAATTATCCATTTGAAACTCATATCGAACCCGTCACTTAGTTTGAAATTTTAATCATAGACTTATCACTAACGATCCAAAAGAAAACCCCTTATAGATAAGCTTGCATAAAAATATGAGAGTATTTGCTCTCACCAGTTTTGACACGAAATATTATATTTGGATCCACCAGTGGAACTGGTTAAAAAGTTAAGAATGAATTTATATTTAAAAAATAAATATAAATTAAAATTATAAAAATAAATATATATCGAAGCTATAGCAAAAATAGAGAAAATAAAAATGTAGAATGTTTTAGAATTCTGTATTGCTTATTTTTTATTACAAATAAAAAAAATATATATACATATATATATGTATGTATACATATATACATATATATATACATGTACATATATATATTTATATATATATTTATATATTATTTATATATTATATATATGTTTATATATATATATATGTATCGATATTTCTGTAAATAAAGACTTGATTAAACATTATTTTTTTGCGATTTTTACTTTTCTTCTTTTACTTTTACTTTTACTTTCTTTTACTTTTACTTTTCAATATTTTCTAGGACTAGAAAGATGAAGTTTATTAATTGACCTTTAAGTTAAATTTTTGTAAAATTAAATAATTTATAATTGAATTAAATAATAAATTATGATTTTCGGCCCAATTGAAAAGTTACATGCATTTGAATACGCTTTTTACTTATGTTTATCTTAAATGATTTCTACATCTAATTTGCATGAATATAGACCTGCTAATTGAATATATAATTTCTCAAATAATAATAATCGTTTTATAAAAAATACATTATGCTAAACTATTTATATCATTCTATAAATAATTCTATTTCTATTCATTTCATTTTTGATAGTTATATTCATCTGAAAGCATTTAATCTTATCAATCGCTAGTATCACAGTTTTTTTACCATATGCGTTTTCTGAGATAACATTCGTACATCGAAAAATCTCGATAGTTGAAATACTGGCATCGGAGGTGGCGGCGGCGGCGGCGGTAGAGGTGGTTGTTCGGCAGAATTATCGCTATTTTGTTCTTGGAATTTTATTCTGCCAAGGGGCGGATTGACGGTTATGATATCATTAATACCATATGCTTTAAATGGATCGCATACTTTGTATCCATTTTTATAATAAAATATCTCCTGGCCATTTGTCTTTAAATAGATATTCTTCAGGCCTCTTTTCGTTACGTATTCTTCTACGCCATGTAGCAATCTAGATCCTAATCCTTGAGATCTACAGCGATAGTCGATTACAACTAAAATATTACAGATTTATAATATAAAACTTTCGTTGTGGTTTTACAACAAAATATAATATGTTTAATGCATTGTCTTGTTTAAATCTTAAACGTACAAAATATTGAGATTAAATCAAGTTATGCTTAATTCAATCTCAACATTATATACATTTATTATACACGAATGTTGAAGTATTATATTATACTATTATATATGAAATATTATATTATATTATACTATTTTCACTTACCAGATTCTATGAAACAACTAACTTTCGATTTAGCCACTAAAGATATTTTACAATGTCCAAGTACCTTGTTCTTATCATTAATCAGAATTAGACACGTAGGAAAATTATCGCAAGACACATTCAGAGATTTCATTCTGCAATATAACAGAGATACAGTAAGTTCATTTAACACATTCCTATCAGCTTCCTAACCCATCCTTTAAAACCCAGGAGAATATAACACACCGTGCAGTTTCGCTTCGAGGCCACTCAGAATTAAGTAACTTACAACAATCAGTAATCAAATCAGGCCGATGGTGAAGAGGTATCACTACGTACTTAGCGTTGTTTTCCATAATTTCTTGTCTGCAATAAAAATAAGATATTATTCAATATTTGTTTAGTATAAAAAAAGCAGTTATTACGCACGTGCGTACATTTCTATATGCAATAATGAGAGTATGTATACACTTTTGTTCTGATATACTAATGTTCTATTTTTCGCGCATTATTATGTAATATCAGATATTTTAAATATTTTAGAGATCAGTTTCAATACTAAAATATCACGTTTAAACAATAAATATTTGAAGTCATTTAATCGTATATATACATACATAACATACATACACGCACGTATGCAGGGAGAGTTTAGAATCATTAAATACTATAGAAGTGGCACACATAGTGTGTTTTTCTTCAAATATTTATATATTAATTTAATATATGTATATATTCGAAAACAGGCATTTCTTAAACTCCAATAGCACTCATTTCAAATCATCGATTTTTTATTTTCAGACTTTTGATTTTCAGACTTTTTGTCCGAGAAAATACACTCAAACGCAAAAAACCCGGTACATTAAAAATTTGGGAAAAAATTACAAAATTTCAAATGATCATAACTTGGTAAATAATGAAGATACAAATATGCGCAGAAATGCAAAATGAAGCTTGAAACGTCCTCTTTAAGAATATCTGAATGGCAATTATGCTCGGCCATTTTTTTCAAAATAGCGGATGATAAAGTGAGAGGATGCAAAATTGATAATCAAAGTTTCGTGTTTGCGATGGTGTATGGTGTGCATCAGGTATCGCAGCGTAATGAGACCAAATGCACATGAAAGTATAGAGTGTTATCTTTAAAATGCTACTTTACCGAGCTCGATGTGATCATTTTTCACTGAGTTGTCCCAAATTTTGCTAAAAATGCGGTTTTCTTGTTAAATTTGCATAATTCAGTGAATAAGTATCGCATCAAGCTCTATAACGAAGTATTTTAAAGAAAACATTCTATACTTTTAGGTACTTTTCGTCCCATTGAGCTGCGACACTTACTTTGCTCCATGCGCCGTCGCACGCTCGAACCTTTTTTTAGCAACTTTTCATGTTCTCCTTTTTATCACCCGACATTTTGAAAAAATATCGTTGCGCACAATTTCGATAGATCTTTCGAAAAGTACGGTTTCAAAGTTTTCAAACCGTTTTTGAAATTTGCTGCTAGGATATTTAGGTGTCGAGATATTCAATTTCGAATTTGCAACAAATGTCGATTCAGCGAGGCTTAAGGGGCTAAGAAGCTCTGCGGTTCGTTTGGCTCTTTCATAATTTCAATAGCTGTGTTCATGTTTCTCTATATAATAATTTATATAACCTGCACAATATATTCAATGATTTGCATTTATTATTTTGAAAACTAGGGAAATGAAAGTAAAATTCAATTTAGGTTCTTCATTTTGCGTAATCGATATTACGTAATAAAGATGAATTGCGTTTTAAGATACCGCTGTCATTAGCTCAAATTATGGTTGTAAGTCTTCCCAATATAAACCGCATGGAGTTTTACTGGTAGGAAAAGACCCATTGTATGTAGTGTGTGTGTGTATTTGTATACCACAAGGATAAGGACCCCGTGGTTCGTCAGCTCCACAGTATTTCAAGATTTCACACCCTCCTTGTGGTGTGTGTGTGTGTGTGTGTGTGTGTGTGGTGTTACAGCAGAGATAAGGACCCCGCAGTTCGTCATTCCTGCAGTAATTAATGACTCCAAACCCTCTCTGCTGTGTGTGTGGTGTGTGTGTACTAATAGTGGGTATGACTGCCTCGTGCGCATATTACCTCATTCATATGATCAGGCATACTCCTTATTAGTCTTTTAATTTCATCCTGCGTAATTGTATTCCATTCGTTTTCGAGAATTATTCGCAGTTCTCGCAGTGACTGAGGAGCACGTACGCGATTTCGTACTTTCCTGCCGAGGTTGTCCCATAAGTGTTCGATTGAATTTAAATCTGGACTATTTGCTGGCCAATCGAGTCGATTTATACTAACTTCATCGAAGAAATCAAGCACTCTTCTCGCAGTGTGTGGTCGAGCATTGTCTTGCATAAACAAGAAGTTCTCTCCGATGAAGGGTGCGTACAGAACAACATACGGAATGAGTATGTCTTCCACGTATACATCTGCGTTCATATTCTTGTCAAAAAAGTGCAGATCTGTATGAGCATTAACTGAAATTCCTGTCCAAATCATTACAGAGCCTCCATTGTAGCTATGCCTCTCACTTACCGTACAGTCTGCAAATCGTTCTCCACCGCAACGATAAACTCGTCCTCGCCCATCTGGAGAATAGACACAAAAACGAAATTCATCGCTAAAGAGTACTTTGCTCCAGTCTGATAAGTCCAGTCTCTATGCTCAACTGCAAAATTGAGTCGAGCTACGCGATGGTGACATTTAAGCAAAGGTACAGCTGCTGGCCTGCGCGAAAACAGATTTTGTTCCTTTAATCTTCTCCGAACGGTGTTAACGGATATATTAATGTTGCGGACATCCCTTAAATTGTTTCTAATTTGAACAGATGTTCGATGTCTGTCTCTTAACGAATTTGAAACAATAAATCGGTCATCATTGTGATTGGTACATCGAGGACGTCCCGAACCAGGCCTTCTATGGAAAGAATTGGTTTGTAAGTACCTGGCATAAGCACGTTGCACAGTTGACACTGACAAATCAAGTGCCTGAGCAACGTACCTTCGACTTCTGCCATCTTCAATTAAAGCAATAACTTGAGCAGCCTTTTCAGGATTTATCGTCGCCATAATCGACGCAATAATTTCGATGCGAAACAATCAATTATGGTTTAAATTGATGAAGTTGCACGAAGTAACGCGCCTCGAAAGGAAAAGATCACGGAAAAAGAAAAGTCGCACGAGGCAGCGCTTATCGGAGTGAACACGTTCGGAAAAGGAAAATTGTTTGTCTTTGTTTATTGTCTTGGCACATACATTTAAGAAAAATCCAGTCAAGCCAGGCGTTAAAGCCCGGCGCACCGACAGAATCTCAGTCTAGCCAGAACGTAAGCCCGGCGTACTGACTGGACTCGCGAAGTCCAGCGTACAAGAGATAGTACAAGAGATAGTGCCACTATCGGCGGTGGACCGTACGAAGGCCAAAAGCTGTACGAAGGCAATCTCTGATCGTCTCCGCGGGCACTCTTATATGCCCTGGGCAGCTCGAACTCGCGTGCGAACCGAGGGGCTCGCGCGCGCGCGACAACCTAGATCGCCGCGTCGCGGCGGCTCCGTGGACTAGGAGCGCCAGGGAATTTCGACGTTCAGGTGGCGTCCAGCGACTCGGCATCCCGCGCGCCGGGTCACCGCGAACTCAGGCGCGATCCTGAACAGCATATTCAAGCTGTGTACCATAATGGCCAATCGTACGGAGAAGGTAGAGAGCTAGGGACAGCTTCGCGAACTAAAGTGTATACCACAGTGATCATGCGTAACTGAAGGGTAAAGAATGGTAACTTTTGATAAAAATTAAATTTCCAATTCGCAAAATTGTGTAAATTATTGTATAGAGAATAATGAACGCGGCTATTGAAATTATGAAAGAGCCAAACGAACCGTAGAGCCTCTTAGCCCCTTAAGCCTCGCTGAATCGACATTTGTTGCAAATTCGAAATTGAATATCTCGACACCTAAATATCCTAGCAGCAAATTTCAAAAACGGTTTGAAAGCTTTGAAACCGTACTTTTCGAAAGATCTATCGAAATTGTGCGCAACGATATTTTTTCAAAATGGCGGGTGATAAAAAGAAGAACATGAAAAGTTGCTAAAAAAAGGTTCGAGCGTGCGATGGCGCATGGAGCAAAGTAAGTGTCGCAGCTCAATGGGACGAAAAGTACCTAAAAGTATAGAATGTTTTCTTTAAAATACTTCGTTATAGAGCTTGATGCGATACTTATTCACTGAATTACGCAAATTTAACAAGAAAACCGCATTTTTAGCAAAATTTGGAACAACTCAGTGAAAAATGATCACATCGAGCTCGGTAAAGTAGCATTTTAAAGATAACACTCTATACTTTCATGTGCATTTGGTCTCATTACGCTGCGATACCTGATGCACACCATACACCATCGCAAACACGAAACTTTGATTATCAATTTTGCATCCTCTCACTTTATCATCCGCTATTTTGAAAAAAATGGCCGAGCATAATTGCCATTCAGATATTCTTAAAGAGGACGTTTCAAGCTTCATTTTGCATTTCTGCGCATATTTGTATCTTCATTATTTACCAAGTTATGATCATTTGAAATTTTGTAATTTTTTCCCAAATTTTTAATGTACCGGGTTTTTTGCGTTTGAGTATATTTCAGCACCATTTAAAATACAACATATTTCAATTTCAGTCAACTGTTGACCGAAGTCACTTTTTTTCATATAATTATATTGCAATAAGACATTAAGAGAACAAGTTTTTGGATTACAAAACTCATATGATTGTGATTCGCATAATAATAACAGTGAATTCTTTTATGTTAATTCTTGTAATTTTTAATTTTTATTTATCATTTTTGTTTTAATATATCTGTATATATTTAATATATCTTTATTTAATAGTGTATTTTTATTTAATAGTGACTAATGAACCTTTAGAAATATATTCTACTTCCACATAAATCAATTTGGTGATGATGATTATGAAGTATTTTCTTGAAGAAGAGAATGATATTAGGAGTATGATTTAGTTTTGACAGTTTTGCAAGATGGCACTAATGTTAATTTTCGAAAACATTCCAATGATAAATTAATGCGAAGACATTCCAATCACAGCTATTAGGGGAGCACGTTGATACATTTAAAATTACTGCAAAATAACAAACGGTAAAATTACATAAAAAATATAGTAATTTTGCAAAAACATTGCGGTCAGGTTGTAATAAGTTATTTCAGGCTAACTAGTGTATTTTCAGAAACAAAAAAGTTTTTAATAGTCTAGTTTTTAATAGTCAAAAGTAAAGTAAATCAGACATATATTAGACATATATAAATCAGACATATATCCCAGACAGCAC